CAGAGCACAAGCCCAGCAGGCTGTTCTGATCCTGGCTTCACTCTCGAGCTACTCGCAGAGTGCTGAAGGCAGGCACTCAGTAGGAGGCTCACGCTCAGTGACGGCGTCACCATGGGCTTGGGACGGATCCTTGCTCATGCACCTCACAGGCTCCGTGGTAACTGGTGAGAGACCGGGGCCACCTGTGCAGGGCTACGCTGGGTGAGAGCGGGGCCCCACATGCCTCTCCTTCCTAGGCAAGCTGAGAGGCTCCCAGCTCTGGACTTCCAGAGGTGGAGCCAACACACACACAGAGAGAGAGAGAGAGACACACACAGAGAGAGAGAGAGAGAGAGAGAGAGAGAGAGAGAGAGAGAGAGAGAGAGAGATCCAGGCAGGCAGCTCAGGGGCTGGTAAAGGACACATTCAGGTTCAGCAGCACTTAAAAATGACCTGCACCTAAACACACATACAAAACGATCTTTCTTTCCCCTTAAAGTCTTGTTCCATGGTTGGGGCTACTTATCTTCTGGAAGGCTTAATATTAAGCTATTGTAACAGGCCATCTAAAATAGCACTAAATGCACACTATCGAGAGATGAAAGTGCTTTTAGCATTGCATTTGACAGCAGTGACAGCGACACCAAGTGAGGCTCGTGGACAACTTCGGAGAGGATAGAAGCAAATGTGTTGGCTCTCTTTTGGTTTGGTATCTCCTGGCAAAAATTCTGAATCCCCTTATTCTTTACAGAAACCTGCAATATGTACATGCAGCAATCTCTGGGAAACGCAGGCAGCAGATGGGCTGCTACCCGGAGAGCTGGGACCAGCCTGCTGTGCCTGTTCTCCCTCCTCCGATGGATCACTTCCTGTCGTCCGCTGCTTAAGTCCTGACCCCTTAGCTGGCCTCAGGAGCACTGCAGAGACCGTACCCGGCATGCAGGAGGGACGGGCAGTGCCTCAGCTCTAGGGGCCTGCAGCACAGCACTGCCCACGAATGGCAAGGGCACGTAGAAAAGGAAGAAAATGACACAAGCCACCATACCTTGCAGGAGGAGCCAGAGGCCGGTGACTCATTCAGTATGCTCAGTTTTATTTCTAATAACCTGTGCATTAACCTTAGCCAAACAGAGCTCTCACCGGCCCACATTCGGCTACTTCTTTTGAAGCCTTGTATATGAACGTGACACACATGCGCTGAGTCTGTTACGATCTCTCACTGTACCTAGTGAGGTACATACTTTGGTCCACGGTGCAGACCTAACTGGAGACCTTCCTGCTGCCTTTGCTTTGCCCTTGTTGGCCTCAGCAGGCCTGCAGTGCGCAGGGTACCGGTCTGAGACCTTGACTGAAGTCTATACGGGCATCTCCAGCGGCAGCCGACCTTTGCGTGTTTCTCTGCAGCAGCCTTAATGCCCACACACGACACAGAGCATTAGTTTAGGCAAATAAGGAACAAGCCTGTGACGCTGCGTGTGCTCTCAGGGCAGGCCCACTGTGCTGCGCATGCGCCACTCAGCACCGTGTGAGGACCGGTGACCCCTGCGCCCGTGCGGTTTGTGCTTTCCGCTGCAGCTGACCATGAGTACCCTTGGCGCCTGCCTTTCTATCTGCGTGGATCTGTGGCCATCTCGTCCCTTTGCTTGCTTTGTCACAGCGCTGTCTTCCTGGGCTCTGCCACTTGGCTTTCGGCTCACGCTGCTGACTCAGAGCCCTGGTGGGAAGGTCTCCTCCCAGGGACTCGCATCCCGTGCTTGGGCTCTGTTCACTGGGTGGTCAGTTCTGGATGTTCGACGACAAAGCACTGATCCTTTCTGCTTACAACCGTGTTCCCCAATTAGGTGACTCGGAACCTGGCACGACTGCCTGCTCTCCTTGCTGTCCCCACTGCTGGGCCCCCGTCTGCTCCCACACTGGAGGCTGAAGAGATGGACCTGGCCAGGCTGCCTGGGTGCTCTGCAGCGTGGCTGCCCCAGTTCCGTCTGCTCCCGCCTGCCTGGCTCCTGGCTCTGGGCCAGCAGCTCCCTACGCAGCAGGGGCGTCCTCTCCCTGCTGGCGAGGCACAGGAGCTGCTTTTCCCAGACTCCTCTCTCCCACTGGGCGGAGGGCCAATGCTCGTACACCCTGCCCTGCCTTCCCGGAGTGACCCACCTGAGCACACCAGGGGAGGACCAGGTGCTCAGCGCAGAGACCAACACCCACCCGCCGAGGTGGGCCCTCCTGCTGTTTGTCAGCTGGACTTTGCTTTCCCTGTGTTTGGCTTTAGTGGAATCGGCCTCGGCCCGGTGCAGGGACGCTATCTGCTGGCATGGCGCGAGCTTCACGCAGCTGCCCTACTCACGAGCATGCGCCTTCTGTCCAGAGGGCCCTGCGATGGGCTCGGGCACGTCGTTATTGCAGATTTTAGTAAAGACCTCAAAAGGTACAGGTTCCAAGGCTTCAGTAGAAACGCACTATCTACTGAACACCCTACAGAGACCTATCAGAGAAGTGACAGAGATGAAATGTATCGTCTGTTTTCCTTTACAGTTGTTTTTACAAATTGAACTCAGAAGTTTAAATAAATACATTTCTATCCAATATTTTAACAAAACATTCATTACTGTGTTGTTATTTTGTTAAATCTTTTTCCCTAATTCTTTTTTTTTTTCTTTTTTGGTGGAACCGGGGATTGAACTCAGACCCTTGCGCTTGCCGGGGAAGCGCTCATCGTACTGAGCCATCTCCCCAGCCCCTCCCTAATTCTTTTTGTTGTTGTTCATTTTATTTGGTACAGGGTCTCGCTACATAGTTTGGCTCACGGTGATCTTCCTGTCTCAGCCTTCCCGGGGATTACAGGCATGCACCACCACGCCTGATTTCCGTGGCCAACACAGTGCCCAGAACGGGCCAACACGGGATCAAACCCAGGCCCACGCACTTGCCAGGTGGCACTTAGAGGACCGAGCCAACTCCCTAACACCTTTAATTCTTTATATTATGGTTATTGTTCTCAGGAGAAATAAATTTGAAAACATTTTTGTTTCATGAACTCAAAAGAAAAAACCACTTAGATGAGAGTAGGTTTTGTTGTGGGCTGCGTGTTTCACCTGGAAGTTAATGGTAGGCAGTGGTGGGCCCTAAACCAAGTGCGAGCCCCCAAGGAATCTCGCGCAAGCCAGGGCCCCCACAGAAGTACCCCGCAGGGGAGACAGGGCAGAGGGACTCCACAGAGCAGCCGTCCAGTCTGACTAGGCCACACAGGGGTGCTAAAACTCAGTCCTCTGGCAGAAACAAGCAAGAGGATGCTTAAATGCATTTTTAAATGATTCTTAAATGCCACCCACTTATTGATAATGCAAACCATGATTTATTTGTAAATGGTGGCTATGGGGTTGGCAAAAAAAAAAAAAAAAACAAACCCTCCAAACGTCCATCTTCCCTTCTTTTAGCTAAGGTAGGACTGAACCTTTCATGCCTCTTCTCCCTGGGGTGGGGCAGCACTCTCGCCCAGACGGCAACAGCGTGGTGCATGCTAGCGCAGCTGTTAGCAGGGACGCCGCGTCCCATGTAGCCGTGCACAGCCAGCCAGCCAGCCACAGCACCTCCGCAGCAGCCCCCTCCTCACAGTACCTTTAAACTCAATGGCGAACCCTGACAAGCCCACAGAGGCGTCGCTCCGAAATGCCAGGAACAGGCTGCTCCCGCTGCTCTCGATTCTGTCTGGGGCTTGGGAGCCCTGGAAACTCCCGATGAGAGGGCTGTTGGAGTCTTCTCCCTCGTAGATGTGCAGGAAGTCGTAGCTGGGCTCCATGTTGAAGCTGAAGACAGGAAATCGGGGGTTAGTGCCTGACAGCAGTGTCACCGAATCGCCCAGAGGACGGAGTTTTTGAAAACACAAGATGAGTTTATTTACTTTTGTATAACACTTTCAGTCATAAAGGCAATCCAAGAGTTAAATCACAATACTGCGTATCGGTTGTAATAAACGTTTAGAGCACCCAGACCACAGCACTCCACCTAATGCAGCTTGGAAGGTAGCTGAAAGACAGTGGGCCCTTGTGTACAGGTACAGCTCTTCTCTGCACGTGGGTTTGATAACGAGGTACAATTTGGAAGAATGGGGCTCCAAAGGGACATATTTCCACTGATATATTATTTTGATGTAATATTCTAGTTTAAATAAATGTACCCTTGGTATCACTGTGTTTTCTTAAAGTTTGTGCATAAGCATTTTGTGTGCTTATTCTTGTTGTCAAAAGATTTTTCATTGCTTCCTTGGATGATTCCATCAGGAGACACCCACAGCCCCATGGCAGGAGGCGCCTCTGCTCGAGTCCCTGCTGAGCACTCCCAGGCATCCCCTCTCGCCCTGCCCAGGTCCCTGCTCTCTCTCCTCGGCAGCCTCCCCTTCATCTCCTGGAACAACCTTGCTCCCGCCCAGGATTCTGGCTTCCCCAGGCCCTGCCGCCTAGATCCAGCTGTTAAATTCCCCTATACACAGAAAAGACCTGGATCAGAGGAACATCCGGGATCCCGAACTCTGTAGCTCCTGGCCAAAGGAGTCTCCCCAGTGGGAGAGAACAAACATCTTCCACTGCAGACTTTTCCAGAGAAGTGTGGGAAACACGGTGGGAAAAATTATGGCACAAAACGTCTTTCATGTCACCAGCTAAGCTGCACTTTAGGGACACCCATGATTGTGGGGGGCGATAGAATGCTCCTCTTACTTTCCCTTATTTGGGCAAGAAGTGCTGCAGCACCAATCCCTGCTTGCCTCAGCCTCTTCCTGTGGTCCTGGACCTCCACTACCAATCCACAACTAGTCCCACCCAACTACTTCCGCTACACGGCTATTTAGACCCTTCTCACTTCTTCAATAAACTAGACTTGATCAGAATCCTGTCTTGTCTCCGTCTCTTGTGTCTCTTGCCCTGTCCTGTTCATCCCCGTTCCTCCTCCAGGTCATTACCCCACATGTTGACTCACGGGATGAGTCACATGATTAGACCACTAATGAGGGGAGGTGGGACATTCCTATTCTTGCATTTCTGTGGCCAGCAGCAGGCCTTTGATTGTGACTTCTCTTAGTTTGCCAGAGCTAGAGCCGCCTGCTGGTTACAAGGTGCGTTAACAAAAGCCACCACACTATCCAGCGCACAGCCGAGGGATGCTCCGTGGTTCTGCGAACTACGCAGTTAGGAGTCCTGAAGCATTCAGTATCCGGGAAGCTAGTAGCAGTGTTCATAAACTTGGGGTGCCTGCTGATCTGTCTCTGTAAATAGAACCCCGAGTCTTACCACTGCACTGCCATACAACTCATCAAAGAGTGAGGAGATGGTCACACTGGGCCTTGGATTCTGACCCAAAGTCCTGGAGAGGAAACTTGGGACCCTGGAAGACCAACCAGGATGCTGAGGCCCTGTTGCTGGTAGCTGAAAGGTTCATGGATGAGCTACTGGGACATGTAGTCCCTGGGACATTAGCATTGGGAAAGACCTTGAGATTCAATAAAAGTGTAATTGTCACCTACTATATACTACTATGGCAATGTATTATAGAACATATTTTATAAAATAATCCTAGTATCGATCTTCTATAATCTAGTTTAGCAGGAACACCTTAGCATATTTCAAAAACATGTCTAATCATTCACACCTTACAGCAAGCAGAGTTTGGAAGTGTTTCATTTTCAAAGCACCAGCGAGCCCTAAGTCCAGAGGACAGTGACAGTACTAGCCTCGGGAATGCCAGAGGACAGGGCTCAGGAAGGCACCCCTTCACGTGCGCTTAGTAAATAGAAAGTGAGAATACCCCCCCCCCGGCAAATGCATGCCATACTTGTACTACTTTTTGAATACTCTATAAATGAAGCTTTCTGTGTGCCAGATCTGAAGCACACAGAGTTAATTCCTGTGCATTTGGCATGATGAAGTCCCCCAAACACAGAATGCATTGCAGTAGGACCGCCTGCACCTGGGGGGGCTCTAGAGACACAAGGCTGGGGCTGCAGCACAGTAGAGCCCAGCACCTGTCAGTGATAAAGGAAGTGACTTCTAGGGGTGG